CAGAAATATTACAGCTGTAGATACTATGTACCAATGTGTACTTACACTGTGGTTACATACTACGTACACATCTAGTTACTATGTAAGTACACAGGTATTAGGGCCACTTAATATACAGTGGGACCAAAAAGTTTGATCATTTTCAAGTCAGCTGATTTGTCTGGACAGGGCAAATGCTGAAGTTCATCTTGGTGCTGCAGTTGTCCAAGTTTTATGATCACGACACCATCTTTTTAGCAGTTTAGCAATGGTATCTGTTATTAAGGTTTTATCAGTTGCAGCTCTTTCATCGATGTTGGTTTTGTCTCTGTGGTCAGTTTTTGTGGAAACGGTCTTCAGTGTGAACACTGAGGTTTGCTGCAGTAGCCCTGTGTTATTTGGACACAATCTTTCTTATTGGTTGACGATCCCAATCATTCGCTTTCAGTTTTCGCCTACTATTCTTCTTCGCTGATGAAGTTTTGCCATTTTTTGTGTACGCAGTCATAATCATAAAGACTGTTGTTCTTAAAACACTAAACAATTGGGCTGTTAAGGTTACAGACACACCTGCTAAACAGGTTCCCTTGATTTGCCCTTAACACTGCTACACAATTTATACTACACTGATATACAACCTAGAGAATATAAAGAACAAAAGGATAATTGCAACTTTTGTTTTTTCATTGTAGCCTATATAAATGTTATTAACCCTTATAATGAAGGGTGTTCGCATTATTTTGTCCAACCCCAGTATATACCATGGCATGCTGTGAATTAAAAAGGCCAAAAATACAATCAAGCGTCACTTTCTAATGCGAACAGAATTACTAGCATTGCTCACATTAAGCGTTTTTGAGCATTTTTGGTTATCATGTCTTCATTCAGGAATACTCCAAGTCGTTCACACTCCAAGTTACCAAGGAAAAACGTGTGGATAAAGGAAATATAAGAGAACTAGACTGGATGATGACTGGGCAGAGTTTAATTCATGCAAGCACAAACATACATGATGCACTGACAGAAAGAGGAAGAGAAAGCGAGAGAAACACTTCCAAGATCTCCTGCCTTTTACTGAAAGGCTCGTACAGCATTTGAGTCTGCATATGTGAGTTCATGGGTGTATCTTAGCATGCAAGCAAGTGAATGTGGGTGTTTAAGTGTGAAAATGTGTTTATCGGTGTGAATACATGTGTAGACGTGTTCTTTCATGCTTCTGAGAGCTATGACTTTCCTTGTCTGTTATATGGTGGTGCTCATGCTGTAAAGGTGAATACTATCATTAAAATGTATTGATCAAGACTTCATTAGTCAGTTTCTGGTTCATATTCAGCAGCATGTTAACTCTGTTCCTGTGGAAAGACTGTTTCTGATGACCAAGCAACTCGTGTTTTTACCCAACCAAGAAAAAAAAAGGAACTTTTGGCTTTGGGGTATTTCAAGTAAATGATCTCATGTGTGCATATGCACTTCAGTAATGAGAACACAGCCTCAAACACACACACTAGGAAAACATACTGATTTGAAGTTGACGGCAACAGACCAGGTTAAACTCACTTTTATCCAAGCACTGATGAATGGAATGATTACAAGCCTTTCTTGATGACAGAAATACAGGTAAGAACTTTTTTAAACAAATATATGTTTAGAGGTGTATGAAACTCAATAATACAATGATTTTTCAATGTGTTTTTTTTTTTTTAGTGTAGGTTTTGAGCTATTAAAATTATAAATAGTCACTGACTGAAATCAAAAATATATATGGTATGAAATGAGTAAGAGTATGAAATACTATAATCGGTTTTGAGCTGCTGATATCCACAGAATTATTAGGAAGTATATAATATAATACACTAATATATATTATAATTTAAGTGAGTTGATGAAATGTGAAAAATATCAAACAATTCAAAGAGAAAACAAGGACCTCAGCCTATGAACAGACAAAACTTTTTGGGATTATATATATATATATATATATACACACACACACACACACACACACACACACACACACACACACACACACACACACACAAATTAATTAATTTAAAAGATCATTTTGATGAAGTGATAAGTGGTAATCTCACAATTTCCCAAAAAAATAAATAATTTTAAATATAGTTGTTGTATAAGTGTATCTGTAGACCTCCAACCCTTTATCCTGATCCTTATATGGATCAAAGATCATCTCAATAATCTATGTTGAAAGCAGAAAATTGGGTTTGAAAACTGGAAAATGGAACCAATCATAGCTAAATGTATACTAGGAAACGTCTGGTTTAGGATCTCGAAATCCAAGAAAAGAAAAACCCTGCTATGCTATGCTGATCAATACTCAGATTATTAACCATTAAAAAGAAACCAAAAAGGATAAAAACTGTTATAATCTTAATGTAAAAAGTTTTACCTAAAATGATAAAACACAAGATTTAAAAAAAAAAAAACGTAAAAAATGTTGCTTTTAAGCATAAATATAGCTATATTTAGTGTATTGTGCTGAAAACAAGAATAAAGACAAAAAGATAAACAAAGATACATTTCCCAAAAACAAGTTACCTTCAAGTAAATTGATCTTGTCGCAATGTTTCACATTTTTTTTCTTTTTGTAGTGCAGTGCAGTGCATGCACAAGTCAAGACCACCAAGATTCATCACAGAGAAAATGTGTAAATTGTTTTTGTTTTTCTGCCCTTTCAGTGAGTTCACTCACCTACGTTCACGCGTGTACTTCACCGCAGCTAAACATAGCACACCTACCGTACGCCGCGCAACCTCTAAATGAAAGCGTAAAAAACACCATAAAAACATAAGAAACTGAACTGACTTTTACAAACTAAACACATTTTAAAGTCAATTTCCGACAGGACGTGTTCTGTGTGACCACATCTCTTTCCCCCAACGCCCCTCACCGTCTTTTAAGCTTAGGGAAATCCCTTTCTTTACAGTTTCCTGGCAGTTGCGAGAAATGTAGTGCGACATACAGTAGTGCTATGTCTGTTTTTACGCTGCATAGCTCCATTAGTGGGTTACGGGTAAGATGGTCAGGTTCACCCCAGAGGAGTGGTTTTATAGCTACCGCTATTGTACGAAACCTGCTGCATGGTAACACACACACACACACACACACACACACACACACACACACACACACACACACACACACACACACACACACACACACACACACACACACACACACACACACACACACACACACACACACACACACACACACACACACACACACACACACACACACACACACACACACACACACACACACACACACACACACACACACACACACACACACAAATTAATTAATTTAAAAGATCATTTTGATGAAGTGATAAGTGGTAATCTCACAATTTCCCAAAAAAATAAATAATTTTAAATATAGTTGTTGTATAAGTGTATCTGTAGACCTCCAACCCTTTATCCTGATCCTTATATGGATCAAAGATCATCTCAATAATCTATGTTGAAAGCAGAAAATTGGGTTTGAAAACTGGAAAATGGAACCAATCATAGCTAAATGTATACTAGGAAACGTCTGGTTTAGGATCTCGAAATCCAAGAAAAGAAAAACCCTGCTATGCTATGCTGATCAATACTCAGATTATTAACCATTAAAAAGAAACCAAAAAGGATAAAAACTGTTATAATCTTAATGTAAAAAGTTTTACCTAAAATGATAAAACACAAGATTTAAAAAAAAAAAAACGTAAAAAATGTTGCTTTTAAGCATAAATATAGCTATATTTAGTGTATTGTGCTGAAAACAAGAATAAAGACAAAAAGATAAACAAAGATACATTTCCCAAAAACAAGTTACCTTCAAGTAAATTGATCTTGTCGCAATGTTTCACATTTTTTTTCTTTTTGTAGTGCAGTGCAGTGCATGCACAAGTCAAGACCACCAAGATTCATCACAGAGAAAATGTGTAAATTGTTTTTGTTTTTCTGCCCTTTCAGTGAGTTCACTCACCTACGTTCACGCGTGTACTTCACCGCAGCTAAACATAGCACACCTACCGTACGCCGCGCAACCTCTAAATGAAAGCGTAAAAAACACCATAAAAACATAAGAAACTGAACTGACTTTTACAAACTAAACACATTTTAAAGTCAATTTCCGACAGGACGTGTTCTGTGTGACCACATCTCTTTCCCCCAACGCCCCTCACCGTCTTTTAAGCTTAGGGAAATCCCTTTCTTTACAGTTTCCTGGCAGTTGCGAGAAATGTAGTGCGACATACAGTAGTGCTATGTCTGTTTTTACGCTGCATAGCTCCATTAGTGGGTTACGGGTAAGATGGTCAGGTTCACCCCAGAGGAGTGGTTTTATAGCTACCGCTATTGTACGAAACCTGCTGCATGGTATTTTTTAAGATGTGCGCCTGTTCCTTGAAGTGCTCCATTCATTAAAGGTGGATTTTGAATTCTTCATTGAAAGATGGATCTGGAGGTCACTATGCTTTTGTCACAAAGAGTAAGCAATATAATATATGCAGCTTTGTGCGATGTTTCTTTCATTTTTAGATGCTTTGTGACTTTCAAAATAACTACTTTTAAAGTGAAGTGTGTAATTTTCTGTGTTAAAACACTACTAACTCTAGACACAACCGATGATAAGTGTTTGATGCGAAACAATGTGTTTGTCGGACCAATGGCAGATGGGAGGAGCGTTCAAGAAACATGCTAGAAAACATTATTTTTACAGTTTTGTTTGGTGGCACAGAAATTACTTGAGACACACTTCACCTTTAAAGGTTGCTAAGTTTGCATCATGCAAAGGCTTTCAGTTACAAATGTTTTTTTCATGAGGGGTGAACATGTGTTGTTTTTGTTAGCGCACACACGTCAGAGGAAAAAAAAGGACGTTTTATGCTTAAAACCAGTGAGAATTCTCAGGAACATGTCTGTGGTGTGTTTTTTTTAGACCTACAGTATATATGTTTGCGTTTGCTTTTATAACAGCATGATGTCTGTTGTCACATTTGTTCTTAAAGTGATGGTTCACCCAAAAATTTAAATTCTGACAATTCACCCTCATGTGCTGTTTCAAAACTGTACAACTTTTTTTCTTTTCTGTGGAACGCAAAATAAGCTATTTTGAAGTCAGTAAGGTTAACATTCTTCAAACGTTGCCCAAATGACATGAGGTTGAGTAAATGATGACGGCATTTTCATTTTTGGGTGAAATGTTCCTTTAAATGGAATTGTTAACCATCAGCACTGGTTTCTAAATATTCTGATATCTTGAAAGTAACCGGCAGAATCAGCTGCTGCAAAAAGCTCCTGGCCTCTGATATTGGATCTCAGCTACAATGTTCTCCGCGTGGATTCTGCATATGGTTGGATTCGCTCTGCTGGTCAGGGGAGACATCAGTGATGAACAGTGTCCTCTTCATGAAGTCAAGCCTGGGAAAGGTGAGAGAGAAAGATAACACTCTCAGACATTATTGCATTCAATTCCTTTTTTATAAAACCTGTTTAGTTCAGGCCTGTGTCCACCAGATAGACCCTTATCGGTGGTTTCTCTAATCTTCTTGTGGCCTCCGTTCTGGACTCATATATATACATTTTATTATCCCATCCAAAATAAATCCTTAACTTGGACCGAGCTAAACATCAATAGAGATTTTCCTTTGCAGACGCTTGTAATTCAAGACGTGGCTTAGATTGGCCAGTATAAAGCAGCTCTGAAGATCTGATTTTAGAAGTTCACTTCTAACTAATCTTGAGAGCCTTGCAGAATCTAAAAATAATAATTTTAAAAAATCCCTTTAAGTTTAGCAATCCAAAACTTACATCACCCAGAGCTAAGTCAGTCTAGTAAGTCACTCGAAGTTACTGTCTGCGGCCACACGTCTGGGGAGAAAATAAATAAAAAAAGACTAAAAAGTTTTTCCCCCAAACTGGAGAACAAATCATCATTCATCAGGCTTTGTTTTCTGTGCTGGCGTATATTGTGTATATATGATATGCCATATCCAGTATTCATGCATTGCAATTTTTACTTTTGGGAAGCTAACATGTCTTGTGATGTCACACACTAAACAAGAGCAAAAACTAATAATGATTATTCTTTGTTAATATTTAAATATTAATACTTAATATTTCAATTTAAATTAAAATTTCATGAAATTGTCAAGTTTATTTATTTTTAATAATGACAAAAAATAAAGGAAAATTAATTAGTAACATCGCAAAGCCATTTAAAATACTAAAATATTGTGTGAAAAACGTTTTTAAACGCCAGTTTGGGGGGAAGTCGTGGCCTAATTAGAGAGTCGGACTCGTAACCCAAAGGTTGTGGGTTCGAGTCTCGTACCGGCAGGGATTGTAGGTGGGGAGAGTGAATGTACAGCGCTCTCTCCCACCTTCAATACCACGACTGAGGTGCCCTTGAGCAAGGCACCGAACCCCCAACTGCTCCCCGGGCGCCACAGCACAAATGGCTGCCCACTGCTCCGGGTGTGTGTTCACGGGGTGTGTGTGTTCACTGCTGTGTGTGTGCACTTTGGATGGGTTAAATGCAGAGCACTAATTCCAAGTATGGTTCACCATACTTGGCCTCACGTCACGTCACTTTTTTACAGCATCTAAAATATACATTTTATTTTCATATAAATTGCAAATAAAAATCTTGAGTTGATAAACATTTATGGTCATTTTATAGGTTTCTTACCTGTAAATAGAATATGTGTTATTTTAGCATCATTGAGATACTATTATAGTTTGTATTAATATTTTGAATCAGTTTTTATATTTTCATTTTTCATTCTAATTTTAGCTAAAGTTCTAGTTATTTGTCATTTTTAGTTGTTTTTGTTTTTATGTCTATATAGCTTCATCATAAATTCGTTTTTATTTCTTTTATTTTATTTTAGTTGTAGTTATTTTAGTACATCAAGCTAAACTAAATTAAAATGAAAAATGTTGCATTGGCAACCAGCCAAGCTGAAATAAAATAAATATATATCTTAATTTATTTCAGTTAAAATTGATTTTATTTCAAGAAACAATTTTTTTTTATGGTTTTAATTTTAATTTCAGTTTTAGTTAACTATATTAACCCTAATCTGTGCCACTAATAAAGCCTGCATTAAGTATTATTTGCCTGAAACCAAGAAAATGTATCTGGGATGCAGTGGCATCAAATCTGTGATAATGTCTATCAAATCTGTGCATCTCAGACATGAAACGATGTCATTGCACTTAATACTGACCTTTGAACTCTTGTTTCAGAATCTGCAGTGATGGATTCCTTGCAGTGCCACAATGACTACATGAGCTATGCACAGTGCACATGGGAGGTCGATCCACATGTTCATCCACAAGCTACAGAAAACATGCATGAATTGTACTACTGGGACACAACTTTAGAGTAAGAGGAAAAAACTAAAGAAAAACACAAACAAACAATGAAAGAAAGAAAGACTACAATAGGGGAAATTAACTTTTTTTACACTCTCTCTCTCCCTGTCTGTAGAGAAGAAACACTTTGCTTCTCGAATAGATCCGGTGTGCTTTTATCCAGTGGGAAGATCTCTCACATGTGTCGCTATAACACTGAAAGGTTTAACACAGGAACAGATCACATTCTCTACTTCAAAGTGCCCTGTGTACCCAGAGCCACGACTCTCAGAGTTGCTCAGAAAGGTGAGTGTGTGTTTTTGTGCATTTACCTTCTAAAGCATCTCTGGCGTGGAAAAGCCTTTCACCGTTCCGTGTGTGTGATTTCAGGAAAAGTTAGGGCCCCAACTGTCTTGACAGAGACGTTGGCTGATAACGGAGGTCGTCTGCTGTCCTGGAGAAGCCCGTATCCGGCATCCTCAAAAATCGCTGGAACTCTTGTGTACCAGCTTCAGTATCGCATATACATGCATAACTGGACTGTGAGTACACACACACAAACACACACACACACACTGTACACAGTACACTGTCAGAAAAGAAATAAATAAATAATTGTGTTTTATCTACCCCACATGCATATTGGTAATTTGATATATTCTTTAGGTACTAACATGCAACCTTAGGTGTAGATAATTTAACACATTTTAATTCAAATGTTTCACACCAATTGTGCTGATTAATATATAAAATATATACTACTTATTTTATATATAATAATATATAAAAAGTCAAACTACACAGTACACACACACACACCATTCATCAAAGAATCCTGAAAAAATGTATCATGATTTCCACAAAAATATTCCACCAAATCAGCATATTAGAATGATTTCAGAAGGATCAAGTGAATATGTTTTAGTAATAATATTTCACAATATTACTGTTTTACTCTATTTTCATTTTTTTTTTTTTTAATTCAGAATCTTGCCGACTCTGAACTTTTGAACGATAGTGTATCCTACCTTATATATTTATATTTGTAATTAAATAGAGTCCAAGAGTCCAAGCCTAAACAGCATTAAAGTTCTGACACACTCAAATATCATCTGATAGGATATCTTGTGGATATCCTGTCTACAACTGTGCAGTAGCAGCTCTGTTTCACTATAATACCAAACACCACAATCTGCCATTGTACGGACACGTCATCATAACCTCAAACTTCACACGATTCCCACCTTAGATAAAGCCTCCACATGAAAGAGTGATGCTAGCGTTATGAAACTGGAGACAGATCCACTCTCAAGATTTGGATATTTACATGGGGAAATGCTGAGCGCGTTTATATGTATTTGTTGTGAAACTGAGCATTGTTTGTTTACCGTTGAATGTGTGCTTGTACGTACACGCGCAGTGTGTTACTGATATAATGCTGCCTTCACGTGCTATTGGAAATTTCCTATTTCCCACTTATGAAGTCGTAATTACGAGCTTGTAGTATTCAAGTGCTTTAATGTCGGAAAGAATAAAATGTAGCATCCCATTGGTTGACTATCATAAACATTCACCGCGCTACACATGCAGTTTGCTGACAATTCTGGAATTTCAGTCAAATACATGCTTATTTCACTGCTTATAAAACATACAATATGCTTCGAATGATCGTTCATATCTAGCCTATAAATACACTACTTTAGCGACAAGACAAAGGGATGTAGTCTGCTGAAAAAAACAGCATATGCTGGTTAGGTATGTTTTGAAGCTGGGATGCTGGTTTGAGCTGGTTTAAGCTGGTCCTTAGCCGGTCATGTGCTGGTCCTAAACTGGTCCGACCAGCTTAAGACCAGCATATGACCATCTAAGGACAAGCATAAACCAGCAAAGGACCAGCTTAAACCAGCTCAAACCAGCATCCCAGCTTCAAAACATACCTAACCAGCATATGCTGTTTTTGCCAGGGTGATGCGGAGGAGACGAATTGCTGAATAAAGTTTTTTTTTTTTCTTTCGCACACAAAAAGTATTCTCGTAGCTTCATATAATGGCGGATGAACCACTGATGTCACATGGATTATTTTACCGATCTCCTTGCTATGTGTCTGGACTTGGGAACATTTCAGTTGCGTTGCTGTCTATGCAGGGTCAGACAGCTCTCAGATTCCAATAAAAATATCTTAATTTGTGTTCCGAAGATGAACGAAGGTCTAACGGGTTTGAAAGGACATGAGGGTGAGTAATTAATGACAGAATTTTCATTTTTGGGTGAACTAACCCTTTAACAGGTTTTTGCTCCTGAATGAATCAGTGTTTTGAACGAATCGGTAACATTAATGATTCAGTGACTCTCATAAACATGGGCAGCATCCAAAATCGCATACTTCCCAAGTAGGCGAAAATCTTTTTGTGACAAAAGAATTATGTCCGAATTCACAGTATTCATAAAAGATTAGGCAAAACATACCCAGATGAAAAAAAAAAAAAGTTTGCAACTGGCTTTTATCACTCAATTAAATCGTGTGATTTGTAGGGACTACTGAACAGAAAGTTTGAAGCTTATCTTAAAGTGTAAAGTAATACATGTACAGGCTGCGTAAATAAAGCTCTGTAAAAACATTACTTGCATTTTAACAACACGTTGTAAGTGTTTCCCATCGGATAACCAAAAGTTCTACACAGACTTGCTGTCTTCACACCTACTAGAACACTTGGGCCATATAGGAAGTACGTCGTGTAAGTGCAAAGACCGCAGCTGTGGGTGTTGGGACAGGCCAGGCTGCGTTCCAATTTTTGACTCGGATGTATATCAATGATTATGTTGCACAAGTGCCCACTACTGGTGGAACCCTTGCAAGGGGCTGAAGTGGAACATCCTAAGCCCTTGATCACTTGGAAATTCGCTATGGAGTTTATTTATTTATTTATTTATTGCCTTACGAATCTGTTTGATGCAACATTTTGTATGTGTATAGGTATGCTGGAGCTGTTTTAAATATTAAAAAATAATTCATATATCGCTGTTTTGGGTGGGAGTATATTCAATGCGATCTGTGGCGACTTCACAACCATGCTATATTGTGGCATATGGAGATGCCTGAAGTGTACATATGAAGTAGACTCGCTCTCTCGGTCGAAATTCAGGGCCTGAGGATCTGTCCATATAAACTTGCCCCGTCCACTTAACCAAGTGGAACACACTTCAAAATGGCAGTGGGGATTCCCCTGTTGGGAAGTGCATAGGGAAGTTCGCGAGTATGCGTCTAAAAGCAAAGTGGAACACAACCCAGATTACATTCATACTAGACACATTCACAGTAGAACATGCTTTTTAAACAGTCTCTGAGTAATTACTTAGTCGAAAGAAGTACCTCCACAGAGAGTATGCAATTTCAGCCACACTTCTTTTGTTTGTGAATGAATCTGTTTTCTCATTCTCTTTTACTGGAACAGACTGTGGATAACATCAATGCTTCCGAGTATATGATTGAAAAGGAGTCACTGTTGGGTTACCATTATCAAGCCAGAGTGAGTGCGCGAGGCCCTCTAGGAGACTGGAGTGACTGGAGCCCCCTGGTGTCCTGGAAGACTCACAATGGTATTATTTTTTGTTTATATTTTGCTAATAGTCTATAATAGAAAAGAATTTCCTTTTTATACTGCAAACACCTGTTTTAATAAAGTTCATGACCTCTCGCAGATGGAGCCTTTAACCTGCAGTGTGTGATAATGGAAGAAACAACTGTGACGTGTACCTGGCAAATGAAGACAGAACATTATCAGTTTATGTCTTATCATCTCTGGTGCAGTAATAATGATAACACTGAGTGAGTTCTCCATCCATCACAAACTCATGTGACTATCAACTGATCTAATGTCACATCCTGTACACTGAGAACTCTTTCTCTCCCTCAGACCCTCAGCTTGTTGCGAAGATCCTCAGCTTCAGTCGAGCGACGTTGAGCTTTCTGAGTTTGTGTGTTCTGTAAATACCCCTGACCCTTACCTGTTAACAGTGGAGCTGAGACCAGTGTACTACACTAGGACGTTCAGTACTTCAAAACACAGTGAGTTTCTTTGAAATGTTAGTTAGTGGAGTCTTGCGTGCCAGCGCTGCCAGCTGAGTTTAGGAGGAACACTGATGTTCATTCGTCTTCTCTTCAAGTTCACCTTTCACAACCTGGCCAGATCCATGTGAAGGAAGTAGATGGTGTTTTCATACTGAACTGGACTGAACCTGCTGTTTCCGAAGATATTGAATACTCCATCCAGCTAAAAATCTCACCCAACAAGGTGCGTTAGTTATCTTTCAGCATCTGTGTTGCATTTACTAAATGATTCATTGTAGCTGTGACTGATCACATGCATGATTTCACTTTCTCTTTGTAGGCCACAGAGAGCTTTGCTAAGGGGAGCAACGATTTTGAGATTCCCTCTACGATTCTAGATCCTTCAACTGAATACCAGGCCCAGATCAGATTATTGCATGTACCTGATGGTGTTTATGATGTTCAGCCATCAGAATGGTCGCAGCCAGCAGTGTTCAAAACTAAGCCAGGTAACACCTTGATTTCAGCTGTGCACTTCTGATCGTATCCTAGTTTGATGTTGATATATTTAATTTCATTTTAGAGAAACTTGGGTAATTTGCCAGTTCACAATTGAGATGTGCTTTGGAACATTAATCTCACTTTTAAAATGGTGTTTTCAATAATGAATTGTTCAGAAATTAATCACTACAGCATCAATTAATTCAGTTGTTGTTGTTTTTTTAAGAAAAGAAAATGATTAATATTGATATACAAGTTGGATTTGGGTAGATTGGATTAATTGTTTACATTGGGATTACATTGAGATACAATGAGATGACTCTTAAAAATTGGTGTGTACATGCAAATTCACCCTGTATGTTTGTTTGTTTGTTTGTTTGTTTGTTTGTTTGGTGACACTTTACAACGCGGCTAACATCAGTTAATGCATTAACTAACAATAAGCAATACATTAGTTACATGATTTATTAGTCTTTTCTGCATATTTGAATGAATGAATGAATACTTTACAATACTCAATTTGTTAACATTAAAACCATTTTAATTCATTCAACCATTCAAATATCTAGATCTTTGACGATAGTGGTCCTGACAGAAATACAGAATACTTACAGAGTGTGTAAACATTATTTCAGGACTTTATGCTAGAAATTAAAACAAAAAAGTGCCCTACTGTGTCCTGTGTTTGTATGCCTTATTTACATTAAAGTACTCAACTTTATGCATGTGTAAATAATTCATAAAGAGCTTCTTTTAAAATAACAAAAGATGTAAGAAAAGTTCTGGGAATATCTTTGTAAAATTATTTAAGCTTAGGACAAAAGTAGTTGATACCCACAGGACAGAACTCGATATGTGATGCATAAGAAAAACTCTTTGTGTGTGTGTAGTTTCATCGCCCATCAGCTCTGTAATCTTCATTTTGACTGCTGTGTTTGTGGTCGTGCTTTTTGTCATCGTGTACAACATCCTTCCAGCCTTACACAGGTAACACCCACAATACATTTACATTTATGCTTTTATGCATCCATCCAAAATGTCAGACATTGAAATCAATATATACATTTAATCAGTTTATACATTCCCTGGAAATCAGTCTCATCTCAGTACACTGGTATTGCTACAGGAACGGTCGTTCATATTTGGCTGGTTTTATTTGTGTTTGTTTATTCATGTGTGTAATTCTATAATAGAAGGATCAAGTTGTGGAAGGGATCAATTCCATCGCCCATAAAGAGCAAAGTGCTGGAGGGGATGATGAAGGTGAGCCTTTAACTGATCTTGGAACAGTATGTGTTTAAGGTTAATCTGGAGTTTGATGCACAATATAATTAATATAGTGTTTTCAAATTTGTTTTTATTTCAATATTTTTGTCAATTTGTTTTTTTAGTTTTTTTTTACTTTGCTTTAATTATTTAATTTCACTGTTTCTGGTACACAACAGCTAAAAGGATGGCAAATATGCCTTTTTTTTATAAGTTTTATAACTAGTATCTACTTTTCCAAATTACACCTGGTTATATGTATTACATAATCTTTCTCTCTTTCAGAAGTCTCCAAGCGGATGGCCAAATCTCCAGAGTGAGAAAGAGTCAACCTCCATCTGTGTACTACTGGCTGCAGACAATGTCAGTCTCTGCAAAAGCAGGTAAGCTCTGAATCAAATTATAACATTTTGCAGTAAAAATATTAATTGTCTCCATGAATATCAATATTTTAAATTCATTTTTATTTTAGATTTTCAGTTTTAATTTTAGTTTTAGACATCCTTGTGTCTTTTTGTTTTAATTTTTTTGTTTTTATATTCTAAAGTTTTACTTTATTATTTACTGTAAATACTTCTTTATATGTTTAAATAATTTTATTTCAGTTTTAGATTTTGTAATTTCAGTACTTCAACTTATTTCAGCTAGTTGCCAAGTTTTTTTACACAATTTTATTAAATTATATTTTATTATTCTTATTTATATTTCAGCACTATTACTGAAAAACGTTTAACAGTTTTAGTTTTGCTTTTAGTTTTAGTTTTAGTTAATAATAGCAATACTCTCTAAAAAAGGAAACGAAACATTTCGCCTAATGCCACCAGTGCCTCTTTCCTTTTCAAACCTAAAAAACTTCTTGTAAGTCACATTATGGAAGTGGGTTCAGGTTCATGTTTGTGTATCTTAAATCTCTATGTCTGACTATGTTTTTCTTTAACACTTCACTTTGTTACAGTGTCTCTTGGGAGCCGCGTTTGTCACACAGTGAAGATGCTGTTAAAATGGCACGGTCAGGTGGATCAAACCACTTGCACGCCTATGTGAGTGAAGGCATGTGCAAGGACAAATCAGGCATGAACTTCAGCGGACCTTATATTCTGTGCTGCGAGGAACCCTGCACCCAGGTCAAATTTCCTGATGCCTCTATAGACAGAGATCACATATGTGTGTCGGGAAAGTCTGAGAATTTTGCTCCGGTAAATGGAGGCTACGTTGTAACTCCTCCCAGTGCCATGCCAGCAACTCAAAAGCCCATCCCCGTCGACAGCCCTACCAATAACCCTTCAAACGAACCCCCTGCGTACACCCCCGGCCCAGATCAGGGTTGTATGGTCCTCCCTCATCCATCTGGATACTTCACAATGCCATGTGTCGTCACGGACTAGTCAGAACTGAGGATATGTGAAGATTGCACATTCTGGAACATAATGACCAAGGACTCAATGACTGTTAGTTTGGTGCTTTAAAAAAAAAGAAAAAACATGAAGGGCCTTACAGGCTCAAAGAATGAGCCAGAGGTGGAAGACCAGAGCTAAGCACAATGAGTGGAGCACAGTGAATGTAATTCAAATCTTTGCTTTATATAAACTGTCACTTTATGAGCAATGTCTAGTGACAGATGAATGTTTCGCATGCTCATAATGAAAGGGGGTGAAAGACTCATTGGAGCTTAAGTAGGACTTTGAGTTGCAGCTGTTGTACTGTGAAAGTCTCACCAACGGATGGCAGTGTTGCTTTAAATGAATGTAAGAAAAGTCTAATTGTTTTCTCATTTCCTCAGTGCAAACCGTGGAAAGCAAACAACGCATTAGTCGAAAATGACACAGTGCCTCACATACCCACAGCAGGGAATGTCTTCTTTTCTTCTTCATAAGCTTTTGCAGTTAATTCAGCTTGACAAACACTGGCAGCCTCATTCACTAACTGTGTACGCAGGTATTTGTGCGCAAAATCTGCTTTTCACGCAGAAATCACGTTCCATCAGTAAGGTTCCATAACTGACTGAATGTAGCCTACAAGCACATTGATTTATTAGTGAATGGGGCGCATTTTGTATATAAGCAGTGCTGTTTTGGATTTTTGCAATCTTTATACTTTTTAAAACATTTAAAATGAAAGTTTTTTTTTAAATCTCTCTAACTTACATTGTGTTAAAATATTGCGGATGTTGTTATGTGTCATCTAAAACATTAAAAACTATTTATGTGCTGAGCAGTGGCGTAACTTTGCTTTGAAAAGTGGTGGGGACACCGCGCAACTCGTTTTGCTAGTTTGTTATTTAATAACCTAATTTACTTGGGGACTGGGTTTAGAGTTGAACAAACTTAATTTTTGCTTTTCAGAAATACATCGATGTACCAGGGGCGGTGCCAGAGAATTTTGAACGCAGGTGCTGAGGGGGTGCTAGATCATTGACAGAGGGAGCTGGGCAATTCAGGGCTCCAGACTCATTCTTCCCACTGCTCGCTCTTTTGCTATTAACTTTCTCAGTTGGCTGCACGAGCACGGTTTTTTTTTTTTTTTTTTTTTTGCGCTACAACATGCTGTTAATCAATGCACGCTGATGAACTTTTATCGTAGTTTATAGTTATATGGAAACGAAAGTAGTTAACATTCAACCCGTTCTTTTTCATCAGTAGTATTATTTGTGATTTGAATTTTGTGAACGGGAGTTCCTCTTTTGCCATGTTATAAGCGGGCTTCTGATACTTTCACTTTCTATTTCAAGATCTTGTCAGGTTTTACAATAAAATATAATTGTCTGTTTTGCTTACATCTATACACCTTTCACGTTTTTGTGGGATTACCTTTGTGCCAATTAAAATGAATGTAATTTTTCAAGAAACTTATGAAAATATAAATTGAAACTGAATAAAATGTCTTTGAAACTGAAAAAAATTAAATGCAGGCAAAATCTTTGACTTCGTTTTTAATACACTGCATGTTTTATCTTCTTTCATTAGCTGATCTGTACTTACAAACGCGCTTCCAGAGCTTTCATTTACGCTTCTAAAGTTTTCATTTACGCTTCTAAAGTTTTCGTTTACGTTTCTGACGTTTTCGTTCGCCATTCTGACACAAATCTCTCGTGGGGGCGGGGCTAGCAGCAGTGTGTTCTCATTGGCTACTGAGTTTTTGATTGACAGCTTCTTGACCTGGACGTGAAGGCGTCAGTGACGGTGTTGCCTTGCCAGTGTGGACGTGTTAGCAGCTTCCAATTTCATTTTAATGATATAAAAATATATATAAATATGTGATTATTATTATTTTATCAGTATTTATCTGCTGCTACACTACATTGTTGAGATGATTTCTTAGGAATAGCACAGACGAATGATTTCATCATCATTATCATCAATCATCGTTGTTATCAGGATACTTGCGGTAAGTTTTCTTGATTTAGCCCAATCATTACAGGACCTGGTTATCTACATACAGTTACAGTCTTCAATTGGATCATATTTGCTTCGATTAGTTCATATTTTCCCCCAGCACATAATGTACAGTACTAAATGTACTGTATCTGACAATGACCGATGCCATTTTACAAGCGCGCTGTCAATCACTGCACTGTCAACTTTAGCAATGTAAAGCCTTTTTACCATGCTTTTTCTGTGTCCAGATTTGACTGTAATAATAATGCAAAAATGGTCAGTGCAGATGAATATTTTGGGGTATTTCGGGCAAATCCTAATACATGCAATTGATTGTGACTGAAAATAGTTTCCAGTAACTAGGGTATACACAGTCATGGA